AAAGAGAGAGAGAGAAAGTGAGCCACTAGGTCTGGGACTCAAACCGTAGTCAGCCATATGGGAGTCCACCAATCTTAACCACCAAACCACCTGCCAGCCCCAGGGGAGCCTCTCTCTTTATTTTTGGAGAGTTTGTTTTCGCTATAGGGCATGTGTGCACTCGCCAGACAGACAGAGAGAGACAGAGAGACAGAAAGCGAGAAATCACCCCCCGGGGGTGATGGCCATGCCACAATCCCTTCTCCTCCATTCTCCTCTCAAGATCTTGGGCACGCACGTACACGCACCCCACGTGAGTTTAAGCCACCGGGTCCGGGACTCGAACCACGGTCGACTACATGGGAATCCAGCGACATAGCCATTATGCTAACTGCTGGTCCCAGGGGAGCCTCCTTTGACCACTGAATAGAAACATCCTGTGAAGCCAACCTAGGTAAAATGGAAAGACAGGCTGTACCCCTGATTAAGAAAACGGAATATTACAAAGATGCCAATTCTCTCCCTATTAATCTATAAACTAGTGAAAAATCAAAATCTCAATGGGATCTATAAAAGTAAGGTAACCTATAATTCATTTATTTATTTTAAAATTATTTTTATTTAACTGTATTACATTTATTCATCCATTTTAAATTTGACCAGAGAGGGACAGAGAGAGACAGAGAGAGAGGGAAAGTGAGCAAGCAAGCCGCCAGGTCCAGGACTTGAACCACAGTTGGCAAAGTGGGAGTCCAGCGCCCTTAACCACCATGCCACCAGCCAGCCCCAATAATTCATTTATTAAAATAAATAAATAAAAGTACTTTAAAAAATGTTAGGGGCCAGCTCCATAGTGTAGGGGTAATGCACAGCTTAAGAGAAGCTGGATCTCTCGTGGTAGCCACAGTTAAAATCTCCCAACTTGGGGCCAGAGGGTGGCATGGTGGTTAAGGGCACTGGACTCCCATATGGCCAACCACAGTTCAAGTCTCGGACCAGGGGCTTGCTTTCTCACTTTCTCTCTCTTTTTCTCTCTCTGGTCACATTAAAATAAGTAAATAAAACAAATAAAGTTAAATAAAAAATTCTTTTATTTTTAAGAATTGTTTAATTTTATTTATTCATTAATTTATTTTCATTTGACCAGAGAGAAACACAGACAGAAAGAGAGAGAGAGAGGAAGTGAGAAAGCAATCCACCAGGTTTGGGACTTGAACCATGGTCAGCCATGTGGGAGTGTCCAGCACCTTAACTATGCCACTGGTCTCAAGTAAAATATTCTTAAAAAAAAAGAAATTTCACAATTCAGTCAGCCTGAAATCGCACCCGACACACATGAGTACCCAAGATCCGATGCACTGGAGGACTGGAGAAAGGAGATTAGGGCATGATTACACCCTGTGGAGAAGGCTCGTCTTTCTCTCTCATTCTTAAGTACTCATACATAAATATGTGCTCTATAATGAATAAAGAAAACTTTGTTTTTTGGAGAGGTTTTGCTATAGGGCACATGCACTTGCAAGAAAGACAGAGAGAGCCAGATAGATGGAAAGCAAGAAATCACTCCCAAAAGGGGATGGCCACGACACAATCCCTTCTCTTCCATTCTCCTCTCGGGATCTTGGGCACGCATGCACATGCGCCCGGCGTGAGTTTAAGCCACTGGGTCCGGGACTCGCACTGCAGTCGACTTACACAGAAGTCCAGTGACATAGTCATTACATCATCTGCTGGTCCTGAAGAAAACTTTTTAAAAAAGTACTGATTAGCCCAGCTGAGACTGTCTGACAGCTAACGTGCTGTGAACCGTAAGCTGGAACCACATGGGAGGTCTAAGTTCACGTCCTGGTCCAAGATAAGGGCAGGTACAGTGGAGTGCACCTTTTATCCTCGCAACTCAGCTGGCTGAAACAGGAGGCTGGCCTAGGCAACACGGAGGGAATCAAGAGCCAAGCACGGTGGCAAGTGCCTATAGTTCCAGCTGGGAGGCTGAGGCAGAAGGACTGTGACATGGTAATGAAGTATAATAATAAGGAACCAGCAGATGGTGTAATGGTCACGTCACTGGACTCCCACATGGTTGACTGGGGTTCGGACCCAGGGCCATAAAAGTCACTCTAGGCACGTGAGCACACATACGCAAGATCCTAAGAGGAAAGAGGAGGAGAAGGGATTGCAGCACAACCATCCTCTGGGAGGGTGATCTCTCACTTTCTGTTTCTCCGTCTCTCTCTGTCTCTCTGGCAAGTACATGCATACTGTAGCAAAAATCTCTCTCTCAAAAAAAAAATAATACTGACAGGAGACTTGTAGCAAATATTAAAATACACTATAAAGCTACATAAATGGGTGAATTAAATTGATTTGTTAGAATAAAATAGAAAAGCTATAAAAACGGAACGGGAATATATCAGGGAAATGTGAAATACATCCTAAAATAACTTGTATAGTATGATCCCAGATTTTTAAAAAAGCAATTTTTAAAAGGAATTAATTATTTAATTATATTTATCATCATTATTATCTTAAAAAATCTGCTACAGGGCACATGTGCTCACCAGAGAAACAGTGAGAGAGATGAAGGGAAGGTGAGAAAGCAAACTGCCAGATCTGGGACTTGAAGCCTGGTCAGCCCTGTGGAAATCCAGCACCCTAACTACCATGCCACCTGCTGGACCCTAAAAAGCATATGTTTTTATAGAAGAACAGAAAAATCAAGGACTAAACACCAGTATATTAATTTGGTATATGTAAATCTCTAGTCAGTGACACTTTTACTTATCTTATACACATATGTATTATTTGAGAGTAACAATAAGCATATATTTAAAAAGAGAGGGAAAGTTAGGACCTACAGATGTCATAATGGTTACATTGCTAGGCTACCACATGGTTGACCACTGTTCGAGTCCCAGACCCAGAGGCTTGAAACTATGGCCAGAAGCATATGTGTATGCACCCACAATCCTGAGAGGAGAATAGAGAAGGGACTGCAACATGGCCATTCCTCCTGGGGGGGGGTGATTTCTCACTTTCTGTCCCTCTGTCTGTCTCTCCAGCGAGTACACACACCCTATAGCAAAAATCTCTGTCAAAAAGAAAAAGAAAGAAAGAAAAAATAAGGGGGGGAAAGAGAGATGTTTAAAAAAACAAGCATTTTAGGACCTGAGAGAGAAAATCAAATTTCTAGGAATAGAAGCTATTTCTGATGCAAGCTCTTTGACATCATCTATTATCAGACTATTAAAATCTTCTACTGCCTGTTTCTACTGTGTTGTACTCAAAGTAGTCTGTGAGTTTGTGTCTACTGAAATGTTTTAGAAAATACACCTTTGATGGGGTCAGCAGGTGGCGTGGTGGTTAAGGCCACTGGACTCCCACATGGTCAACCGCAGTTTGAGTCCCAGACCTGACAGCTTGTTTTCTCACTTTCCCTCTCTCTCTCATTCTGTCTCTTTGGTCAAATTTAAAGAAAGAAAGTTAAATAATTCTTTTTTAAAAAAAGAAAATATACCTTTGGATGAATCTAGTTTTATTTCAGAAGAGCTGTTTCTTTCATCATGTTCTTCTGGCTTCCCATTTATCTTCTTTGAATTTTCTGAATACCCATTTGTTTTTTTTCTCTTTGATTTATGATTTTCTGTTTCTACTCGTTTCCTTTTGGTTTCCTTTTGATTGACATCAGGCTGTAGTTGTGGACTTCCTATTTTGGGATTACAGAAATGCATATGCTAGTCACCAACAAAAACAACTTTTTAAAAAATATTTTATTTAACATCATTCATTTATTCATTTATTGATTGACTGACTGGCCATGCGGGAGTTTATTGTCCTTAACCACCATGTCACCTGCCAGCTCCAAACAATTTTTTTTAGCTTTGCTAGAGGGCATGTATGCTCACCAGAGAGAGGGAAAGGGAAAGGGAGAAAGCACTCCCTTCTCTTTCATTCTCTTCTCATGATTTTGGGCATGCACACACATGTGCTTGGCATGTTTTTCAAGCTGCTGAGTTTAGGACTTGAACTGTGCAGCTGGTGATGTGGGATCCAGTGCCTTAAGAATTACTACACAGCCTGGTGTCCAAAACAATTTTTTAAAACGTTTTTGCCATAAGGCACACATGCTTATGGGAGAGAGTAGGAAGGTGAGAAGTTACCCCTCAGGGGGCATGGACATGCCACAATCCCTTCTCCTCCATTCTCCTCCTGGAATTTTGCACACACCCAGTCTGATTTTCAAGTTGCCAGGTCTGGAAATTGAACCGTGGTCAGCCATGTGGGAAACCAATCCTTAACCACCATGCCATCTACTGGTTGACTACACGGGAGTCCAAGCGAGGTAACCATTTCACCATTTGCTGATCACTTATCACTTACTATCACTTCTAACTATCCAAGAGTCTAAATAGACTAAAGTAGAAAGGACAGAATCAAATGCAACATAGTAAATCTGAGTAGGAGACCTTAATATACAGACCGCCTTTGTACAAGATGCATAAGGCTTCCCTTAAATTACTGATTAATATTTAAACACAATTAAAACTGTCACTGGAGGGACCAACAGATGGCATATTGGTTATATTGCTAGACTCCCACCTAGTTGACCATGGTTCGAGTCCAAGACCCAGAGGCATAAAACCCAGGTGCGTGTGTATGCGTGCCCAAGAACCTGAGTGGAGAATGAAGGAGAAGGGATTGTGGCATGGCCATCTCCCCAGGTGGTGATTTCTCACTTTCTGTCTCTGTGTCTCTCCAGTGAGCACATGTGCCCTATAACCAAAATCTCTCAAATACATACATACATACATACATACATACATCTGTCATTGGATTGGCAACTCTTGAAGCTGAGAGCAGCTAATACTACCTCGTATAAAATTATTTGCTTCCATTGAACGATTCTCCATGACAACTGTAAACAATATTTTTGTCTGTGGTAACTACTTCCAAAAATCAATGACTAAATCTTATTAGCATTTTCAAAACCAAAATGTTAATAATAATAATTGTCACTAACCTTGATTACCATGACACTCAGAAAGCACCTGATATTCAACTCGCTTTTTTAGAAGCAATGGAAAATATTTTCTCAAAGCAAATTCAGGGTTTGACCACCCAATTTCCTCCAGCAAAATATTTCTTATTTCTTCAGTGAAATCTTTCCTTGTCCTCATAAACTGCAATAAGGAATAAAATGCACAATTATAGACCCACTTTTTTATTCACGTTAATCACAAGACTATCAACCTCTTTCTGTCCCTAAGTCAGTATCACTGTAGGACTACCTCTAGTCACTAAACACGAAGCTGCATGTACAAAGCTCTAGGCTATAATAGATACCCCAGTCTTTTCCTCTGAAAAATGAAAGGCAATGCCTTATGGTGGATGAGTTCTCGAACACTTACCACATTAGCAGGAGTAGTACTTTTCAAATTTGAATTCAGTGTTGAAAATTCACCAAGAGCAATGACACGTTTGGAGAAATCTATTAGTTTAGTATTCAATTCTTTAAATTTAGTTAAGAGAGGACAAGAGGGTGGTTTCAAATGCCACAAATGGCACCCTAAAGAAAAACAGAAAAATTACTTTAACTTTATATACTATCCATTCACTGAATGTCAAGTTGTATACATAAAGAGACCTGACTATATAGTCGACACAAAAATACCAAAACGCTAAGTTAGGTACACATGGAACAAAATCCTCACCTCCAACAAATATAACTAATAAAAATAACCTGGTCTTTCCTCCTAATCATTTAACACAAGCAAACATTAGTAAAGTTTCATTTCTGGGGCCAGCTGGTGGCTTAGTGATTAAGGTGCTGAACTCCCACACGGCTGACAACAGTTCGAGTCCTGGTGATTTGAAACACACACCAGGTGTGTGTGCACGTGTGCCCAAAATCCTGAGAGGAAAATTAAAGAACAGAGAATGTGGCGTGGCCATCCCCGCTGGGGAACGATTTCTCACTTTTTGTCTCTCTGTCACTCTGGTGAGCTCATATACCCTATACCAAAAATCTTTCAAAGAAAATTAATTTCTATTTCAATCAACATTGATACACAGAGCAAAACAGGTAGTTAACATCCTGGTTTAAAGTTTAAACTTCTAAGTCACATTTGGATTTAAATACTGCTACTTGCTAGCCTTGTGAGCATGGACAACATCATACCCTTTAGTTTCTTCCTCTATAAAGTGGTATAATAATTGTAATACTCAACCTCTTAGAGTTGTTATAAGGATTAATCTACATATGCATATGAATGGCTCAGCAGAATTCCTGACAATAGTTAGTGCTCAGTAATTCTTTTTCTTAGGTTTCTGTCATAGGATGCATGTGCTTGCCAGAGAGACAGAGAGAGGGAAAGGGAGAAATCATCCCCCAGTGGGGATAGCCATGCCACAATCCCTTCTCTGTTCTCCTGAGATTTGGGGCACACATGCACATGTGCCTGGCATGAGTTTCAAACCACCAGATCTGAGATTCGAGCTGTGACTGGCCAGATGGGAATATGGCGCCTTTACCACCATGCTACCTGCTGGCCCCCATGCTCTATAATTCTTAAGTTAGAAAGTGAGATAAGTTCTTTCTGTGTTTGCCTCATCTGCTTATCTACAAATAGATATGCAAAGTTTCATAGTAGCACTTCTGTAAAAGTGGGTTTATCAAATTCAGCAGACAGGGTGAGGATAGAAAGAGAAAGAGAACGAGGAGACAAGCAAGACCCTTTACAGGGTCTGGTCACATTGTGATCCTTTCCTGAGAAATTCTCTGAGAAATCTGCTCACACAGACATAATTTTGGAAGGATATTACCTTCCTTCAGATTATAGTGCCCCTCTAGGCGACACTCGCTCACAGTCCCTCACACTTGCCTGCTCTCCCCTGGCATAACAAGTAAGAGCTAAGGACCCTTGGCTTCCTTGCTCCACCCCATCCTCAGTAAACCGAGTCCATGGCTGAGGAAGAGAAGATGAAACTAGTTAAAACTCCCACTAAAACCACCATACAAATAATATTTATTTCAACTTTAGACTCAGCTTTAGCCAGCTTACATAGTTTCACATTATTTCTAGCACGTGAAGAGTAAATATTCAATAATAATAAACTTACCATCATTTTTTTGTTGTACATGAACAACTGTCTGGAAACTGGTACTCACTGCATTATAGGCATCCAATGCAGCAGCTTTCTTGGTAATTTGTCGTTTCAATAAATCTGGTAAACCACTCATTAGAAAGTCACGTTTTGCTTTAAATTCTATATCATAATCCTGAGATTTTCCGGATGTATCTTGACTTTTGAAAAAGAAATGCTAAGGTTATAAACATCTAAAAATAAACTATCTATAAAAATAACACCTTAATTTAGAAAATTAATCAGCTACCCAACCCTGGCTCCCTTTTTTATCTTTTGCTTTTTATAGAAATGAAACTCTATTCAGGGCCAGCCAGGTACCTAGTGGTTAAGACAATTATTATAGATCCCACATGGCCAACTATGCAGTTCAAGTCCTGGACCCAGCAGCCTGGAAAACAAGCCAGGCATGTGTACATGCATGACCAAATCCCAAGAGAAAAATGGAGAAGGGATTGCAGTGTGGACATTCCCCTTGGGACAGGATTTCTCACCACTAGCCCCCACCCTGCCTCGCTCCAGAGAGCACATGCATCCTATAACAAAAACTAGGAAAAAAAGAAAGTAAATCTATTCACCTTTAAAAATTAAATAAAAACCATATGTGGGGGGGCAGCAGATGATGTAGTAGTGACATTGTTACACTCCCACATAGCCAACCATAGTTCAAGTACCAGACTCGATGGCCCAAGATCCAGGAGGAGAATTGGGGAGTAGGAATTACAACATGGCTATCCCCCCTTGGGGGTGATTTCTCTTCCTCTGTCTCTGTCTCTCTTCTCCCCCAATCCCAGGAGAGTGCACGTGCCCTAAGGCAAAAATCTCTTTAAAAATAAATTGATAGGGGGCCAGTGGGTGGCGTGGTGGTTGGGGCACTGGACTTCCATATGGCTAACCACGGTTTGAGTTCTGGATCTGGCAGCTTGCTTTCTCAATTTCCCTTCTTCTCTATCTGTCTTTCTCTATTCAACTAAAATAATAATCATGATTATAGTGAATAAAATTTAGAAGGCCTTGCATGCATGCACTTTAAAAGAAAAAAAAAAGCCTACAGAAACTATTCTGTTTTCCTTTCCTGTTTGAGTAATAAGAGGGGAAGAGGAGCCAAATTACAACAATCCTCTTAGAAAAGAGAAAATACACTTTCTCTATTTTTGATAGGAGAGGGGGAGGAAAAGATGAGTAAAGTTGCAGGTAAATTACAATGTACCAAAAGCAGAAGGTAAACTTTAGTGTGTATATATGTATGTGTGTGTGTATCAGTATATACACACTTCTATATTATAGACACACAGTTGTGAACGTTTGTGTTTGTACATGCATGCATACATATAGAGAATACCTTTATCTCCTGAAAAGGCCCTGAAGCACTGACACCCCAGGAGCACCTCAGTCAGTATACTGAGGACCTAGATACCGGTTTCTAATTTATCTTCCACTAAAAGGAACCAGAAATTCTTGGAAAAATGGCTGACTGCAGAACTGGGACAAGGCAAGTCAAAGATGAGCCTAGGACATCATCCTATTCTAGAAAGTAAAGCTCAAAAAATTATGAGGATATGTCAAAGGGACATTGAAACCAAGCTGAAGGACTGCCATTGGCCAAAATAAAAGCAATTTGATAATCAAAATAAATATTATTAATGAATTATAACTCACTGAATAAAATGGGAATGAAGAGATAAATAAATAAATAGATCAATGTGATGAGATGAAAAAGCTCTTCCTTGTATTAGCTAACAGAGAAACTACTATAATGGAGAATCGCCACGACGTGGTTAATTCAGGTGGAAGGTACATTGTTAAGGCTGTAAGTGTTGATTTGATGAGGAACAAGACACTGGCATTAGCTTAGAGTATCTTCATATAAAATATTAACTGCAAAGGGAAAAAAGTGAACTGAAGATGGAGAAATCTGACAGATACTAACACGTCCAGCTGATGGAGGTTAACGTCACCAGACATGGGTTGGGTTAATGCTACATGCCTCCCATGCAATGCACTGAGAAGAGCTGCACACTGTTTCTGTCTTGGTCCTGAAAAGAGTGTTGGAACTATGTCTGCTCAGGAAATCAGACAGACCTGGTCATCCTATAGCCTATAAGGTCTGCATTCTTCAGTATTAGTTAAAAGGTGGGGCTGGCAGTGCGTGGTAGTTAAGGGTGCTGGACACCCACATGGCCAATGGTGGTTCAAATCCTGGATCTGATGGTTTGCTTTCTCATCTTCCCTCTCTATTTCACTATGTCCCTCTTTAGTCTAAATTTAAATAAATAATAAAGTTAAATAAAATAATTCTTCAAAAAATCTTTTAAAGAATTATTTTATTTAACTTTATTTATTTATTTTAATTTGACCAGAGAGGGTCAGAGTGAGAAAGAGAGAAGGAGGGAGAGAGAGAGAAAGAGAGAAAGTGAGAAAGCAAGCTGCCAGGTCCAGGACTCGAACTGTAGTTGGCCATGTGGGAGTCCAGCATCCCTAACCACCATGCCACCTGCTGGCCCCAAATAAAAATAATTCTTAAAAAAAAATAATAGTCAAGGAAATTAGAAATCTTGGCAAAGGGGATATGAAAGTTGTAGTATTCTGGCAACTTTTATTAAGTTTAAAGTTATTTTAACATAAATTTTGTTAAAATTCTTTCATGTTACACAGATTTAGGAACATAACAATAACATAGGAAATCAAAGTATATGAGCTGGTCCCATGGCCTGGTGGCTAAGGAAACTGGATCCTACATGGCCAAGTGGTTTGAATCCCAGACCCTGTAGTTTGAAAAACACACTAGGCACATATTGCATGCATGGCCAAAATCCCAATGCAGTGGAGAAATAAAGAAGGGATTGCGGCATAATTGTGTCCCATCTGGGGGTGCTTTCTTCCTCCCCTCTCTGTCTCTCTCTGGTAAGTGTACGTACCTTCTGGCAAATTAAGAAAAGGAAAGAAATCAAAGTATAAATAGCTCCGAATTAGCAAATTATTCCTTAAAACAATTTTGCTGGATAAATTTTGTTGCTCAAGCAGAAACATTCCCAATTTTAGGTTACTATATTCATCTAGCAGGCAGATTAAATTTTTGAAATTCAAATCTGTGTCCACACTCACATTTAAAACTCTTGGGCTGCTTCTTATTGTTCTTAGCATAATGACAAAATTCTCTAACATGGCTTCCAAGATCCTATGCTACCTGGCACCTACCACTCCATCAAAATCTCACATTCTTCTCACATTTGCTCTCTGTGCTCAAGTCACGCTGGCATTCTTTCCATTGTTGGTATTTATCTCATTCTTTCCAGCTAGGGGGACTTTGCACAGACTGTTCTCTCTGGGTAGAACACTGTTCCTTCCTCCCACAAACTCCTGCTCATCTTCCACATTTCAGGTCAAACAGCACTTCCTCCTCCCTTAACCAGACTAAGCATCTTTAATATTAACTTGAATAGAATTTTTTACCTTGCCTTGGCATACTGCAATTTTCCACTCGTTGGCTCAATTAATGTTTACTCACTGACTTCCCTTTATATGACAAACCTCGTGAGGACACAATGTGTCGTTTGAATTATTTTATTTAACTTTATTTATTTTAATTTGACTAGAGAGGGACAGACAGAGAGAGAAAGTGAAAAAGTAAGTCGCCAGGTTCTGGACTAGAACTGCGGTGGGCCATGTGGGAGTCCAGCGCCCTTAATCACCGTGCCACCTGCCGGCCCCCACAATGTGTCTTGCTCCGCATAATATTTTTAGTATCAAAAGCAGTGCCTGGTACATAGTAGGCATTTAAATATTTATTGAATGAAGTTCATAATCACTTTTTTTGTATTTTTGGTTAGCTTATTTATTCTGCTATTAGGTTGTCAGAAAAGTCATGATATATTTTTCTGTTTTTCTATGCAAAAATGCACCATGACTTTTCCAACCACCTAATGTTTGGAGATGGTTAAAAAGAAAAAAACAAGATCTTCAAATACTAGTCACAGCATTGTTAATGTCATTTTTTCAAAGTGACTCAAGGAAGCTTAAATAACAAGTCATCATGACTTTTTCAACAATCTAATAATTTACATGCTCATCAAAATAAATAATCACAAAATATATTCCATAACATTACGGCATTGAAAAATTCATATTGGACTGACCTGCTTTCATCAAAACCAAGGTTAGGATCAGCTGTTTTTTGAGCGTTTTTGGCAAGAAATAAAGGAGCAACTTTCACTTTTCCTTAGAAAAATAAATATTCAGGTTAGTGTCAATGTTTACGACCTCCACTTACTTTCCACTGCTTTCAAAATTATACCTTTTTAAACTTTCAAAAACTTAACTTTTTTTAAATTAAAAAAGTTCTATTTAATGATTTCTTCTCTCAACCTGGCAACATCAGACTCTCCTAGTGAACTTTTGTGTTTAAACCAAGATTCCCACATTCCACCTCTGCACATTTTATTCATGTCTAGGGAAGGACTTAAAGATTTTTTAAATGTATCCACTTACCCAAATGATTCTGATAATTAAGCAGGTTTGGGAATCACTAACCTCACCAACAGTAAATAAACAGAAAGGCAATGAAGTGGGCCAGGCCCATGGCGTACTAGCTAAGTGCAGCGCAATGGGAGTCTGATCCCCCTTGGCCAAATGTGGTTTAAATCCCAGCCCTAGCTGCTTGAAAAACATGCTGGGCGTGTCCCAAATCCAGACAGAATGGAGAAAGAGAAAAAAAAGTACTGCGACGTCACGATGCCCCATTGAGAGGTGCTCTCTCTCTCTATAGCAAGTGTACATTCCCTCTAACAATTAAAGAAAAAACAAACACAAATAAATACCATAAATTAAAATACACTCAATTTTCCTTTGAAAAACTATTCACTACATCATAATTTTACTTACTAAAACAGAAATAAATATTATTACTGGGACCAGCAAATGGCATAGTGGTTATGTCACTGGACTCCCACATGGCCAACTATGGTTTGAGTCCCAGACTTGGCTTGAAATTCATGCTGGGCTCACATGTGTATGTACCCAAAATCCTGAGAGGAGAATGGAGAAGGGATTGCAGGATCGCCATTCCCCTAGGGGATGATTTCCCGCTTTCTGTCTGTTTCTCCAATGAATGCACACACCCTATAACAAGAATCCCTCTAAAAAATAAATAAATAATATTATTAAAATTATACAGGCCAGCCTAGCACATAGCATAGTGGTTAAAGTGACTGGATCCCACATGACAACCATGGCAACCATGCACCTGGATCCGGTGACCTGAAAAACACACTGGGCAAGTGTGTGTGCGCCTGAAATCCTGACAAGATGGAGAAATGGAGAAGAGACTGCAGCAGGACCATTGCCCATGGGGAGTGCTTTCTCTTACTCGCTCTTTATCTCTTTTCTCCCCTTGCTGTCTCTCTCCAGGCAGTGCATGCGCCCTCTGGAAAAATTTGAAGGAAAAAAAAAGTTTACATTTTGGGCCAGCCAGTGGCCCAGTGGTAAGGCAGCTGGACCCAAATGGCCAACCCAGCAGCTGAGTTCTGGACACATCAGCTTGAAAAACACACCAGATAAATGTGGACACCTGCCCCAAAAAAATCCCAAAAGGAGAAGAAATGGAGAAGTAATCATGGTATGACCATGACCCATTGGGGGTGTTTTCTCACTTTCCCTCTCTCTCTTTTTCTATAGTAAGCACACACACACTATAGGAAATTTAAAAAATATAAACATATATTATTAAATCTGATTACCAGGTACGTTCTTAGGAGACTTGTTCATTTTTTTTCCTAGTACATCATTCAAACATTGAAGTTTCTTCTGATTTTTCTCCGGCTGCTTTAAAGAAGTAGGACTTGAATCTATTACTATTATAGAGTCCTAAACCAAAATAAGAGAAAAGTGTTTCTTTAAAAAATCATATAATTACATCAGAAAAAAATTCTAAAGAATAACTGTGAAAGAAACCATGGAGAAAATAATTAAATTAGTAGTTCCATATATCTTCCCATCAGATATCATCTGACTGAAATAGAAAATGCATGAGAGAAGAGTAGGCGTCTATGTTTATGTCATACAAATTTACACCATATCAAAGAGGGTTTATTACAACCATGAGCATTCCTTTTAAAAGAAGCAAATGGGGGGCCAGCAGGTGACATGGTGGTTAAGGGTGCTGGACTCCCACATGGCCGACCGTAGTTCAAGTCCCAGACCTGGCAGCTTGCTTCCTTACTTTCCTTCTCCCTCTCTTTCTCTCTCTCTCCCCCCTTCTTTGGTCACATTTAAATACATAAATAAAATAAAGTTAAATAAAATAATTCCTAACCAAAAAAAAAAAAAAAAAAAGAAGAAGCAACCAGTCCAATGAGTAGCACGGTGGTTAAGGAGCTGGACATTCCTACATGGACAACTACAGTTCACATTCAGGACCTGGTGGCTTGCAGGTTGCTCTCTCACTTTCCCTCTTTTTCTCTATGTATCTCTCTCTGGTCAAATGAAAATAAATTAATAGATAAAATTAAATAAATAATTGTTTAAAAAAATAGAAACAACCAACAGAATATATTCCAAATAAAAGAATAAATATGACCAAGCTATAAAAATTCTGGTCACAGGGTCAGCAGATGGCGTGGTGGTTGAGGTACTAGACTCCAACATGGTCAATTGTGGTTTGAATTTCAGAGCTGGCAGCTTACTTTCTCTCTCTGATAAGCATGAAAGCCCTATAGCAAATTAAAATAATAATAATAAATTAAATTAATAATTATGTTTTGCTCTTCCTCTTCTCCTTAGCGGCCTGAGGTGATCTTTGAAAATGGTTCGCTATTCACTTGACCCAGAGAACCCCACAAAGTCATGCAAGTCAAGAGGTTCAAATCTTCGTGTTCACTTTAAGAACACTCGTGAAACTGCCCAGGCCATCAAGGGTATGCATATCCGAAAAGCCACCAAGTATCTGAAGGATGTCACTTTACA